AAAAAAAAAAAAAAAAAAAACATGAAATAATAAAAATTAAAAACTGAAAACGAAAACATTATCAAACTAACCTTACTAGCCAAATATGTTCTCCACTTCTCAACTTCTCAACTGGACTTTGGGTTCTCTGTAGATGTGGGAGAAAGAAAGAAAGAAAGAAAACAGAGAAAATTTAATTTATTTTTCCAAGGTAAAATAGTGTAGTAATTTCTAGGGTTACAAGCATTTCTACTAGAATATGTCAATTCATTAAAACAAATAATGACTATGACAATCACATCAATACGTAATATGTGCAAATATGTGTATCCGTGTTATAAGCACCACTACCAACTTTATTTTGTTATCTGATTAAGTTCAAACATTTGCCTAAAAAGTGAAAATTGTGATTTAAAAAATTGTGAGAAAAGAATCAGGAATAATGAGACTTTAATTAATAAAATTAATTTTATCCACCAACTTGAGCAACTCGTTTGATTTGGAACTATATTTAAAAGGAGTTTGAATTCCTACTTTCACATTTAACTAAAATGATAATAATAGTTAAATGTTATATTAATTTCCTAAAATCAAACATATAATGTAGATGTAAAAAAAAAAAGAATCTAATACAAAAATAATTATAAAACTTGGCAAGTACATCCACTACTTAGATGTGGAATGTGGGTTGTTTTTAGGCTTAAAAATCAACCACTTGCTATGGCTTAGGGTATAATATGAAAGGAGAGGGAGGTATAATGTGAAGAGGGAAAAGGTTAAGAAGTTAATGAGTGTAACACGAAAGGGAGATATAATGTAATGTTGAAAAGAAATGGGCTTCATCCTTATGGGTCTAATTCGAAAGGAGGGAATGGTGTAATGTGAAAATTAAAGAAGGAAATTAAAATTAAAAAAGAAAGGGGGAAATAAAGAAAGGCCAACAATACCAAGTGGAGTAGACAAATGGGTGACCGTGACTGTGTCCTCTGCCCACCGATTGCGTCTGCTCAACACGTTGTCTTCCAATAGAGATAAATTAGTCAGAATAATAATGATGATAAGCAACAAATTATGTTTTAAAAATAATTTTAAAACCCAACAACGGCCATTAACCCCCAGTGCCCACCTCAACCCAGCGCCAAAAGTAAACGCTAAATGAAAACTCATATAGTGGGAAGGGAGTAAGAGCAGAAACCCCATTCTTATATATTTATATATATATCTTATCTTAGACTTTCCAATGTCAACGTCACCCTCTTTCTCTCTCTCTTCCCCCGTCTCCCCTCTTCTTCTCTCTCTATTCTTCATTTTTTTTCTTTTCTTTTTTTGGTCAATGGTTTCCCCCATCTTGTACAAGGGAACCCTCGAAACCTGATTATGACTATGTACTTCAAGTTAGCTTCTTCCTCTTCCTACATCTTCCTTGTTCCTCTCCACCTTGCTCTTCTTCCACTCTTGTTGTAGAGAGCCTTTTGTTTCCTTTTGTTCTTCAGATGAGAGATGATCGAATGGCCACCTCCTTGGTTGGTGGTCTCATTCATCAACCTTTAGTGCCCAATTTCTCCATTAATTTCAACTTCCTCAACCTCTTTGTTTTGACCCTCCTGGTTTTGCAATTCTTTCCTCCTTTTTTCGTTTCAGCTTCTTGCAATCCATCTGATCGCGATTCTCTCTGGTCTTTCATCAATTCTTCTTCTTCTTCTGTTCCCCAGTCTTTCAATTGGTCTTCTTCGATTGATTGCTGTTTCTGGGAAGGAGTCAGTTGTGAAGCTATTGCAAATAGCGATGACAACCGAGTCACCAAGCTTTTGTTGCCTTCTAGAGGTCTTCGTGGTGAATTCTCTTCATCTCTCACAAACCTTGCTTTTCTCTCTCACCTCGATCTCTCCCATAATCGTCTGGATGGTTCTCTACCTTCCGATTTCTTTACGTCCCTAAGTCGCCTGAAGTTCTTGAATTTGAGCTACAACCTTCTCGCCGGTCAGTTCCCGCCGCAGCCTTCATCGTCCGGACTCGTGATTGAGACTCTGGATCTGTCCAGCAATCGTTTCTCTGGGGAAATACCTTCTTCGTTTATCCAGCAAGTGGCAATCTCGGGGAGTTTGACCAGTTTCAATGTCAACAACAATAGTTTCACAGGTCTCATCCCAACCTCCTTTTGTGTTAATACTACATCTATAAGCTCCCTCAGGTTATTGGACTTTTCCAATAATAAATTCAGTCGTGGAATACCTCAGGGGCTGGGAAACTGCCCCAATTTGGAGGTTTTTCGAGCGAGTTTCAATAGTCTCACTGGTTCTATTCCCTCCGACCTTTACAATGTTCTCTCTCTAAAGGAGCTTTCTTTACATGTTAATCATCTTTCGGGGAACATTGGTGAGGGAATTGTTAATCTCACCAACCTCAGAATCCTAGAATTGTACTCCAATGCTTTGATTGGCCCCATCCCAATGGATATTGGAAAGCTCTCCAGACTGGAACAGATATCGCTTCATATTAACAATCTCACAGGCACTCTGCCCACATCACTGATGAATTGCACCAATCTGACCTTGTTGAATGTGCGGGTCAATAAGCTGCAGGGAGATCTCTCTAATGTTAATTTCTCCCGCCTCCTTAGCCTCACCACACTTGACCTTGGCAACAATATGTTCACAGGTAGTATACCATCATCTCTTTACTCCTGCAGGTCTCTAAAGGCAGTTAGACTGGCTAGTAATCAGTTTTCTGGGGAGATTTCTCAAGAAATTGCAGCGCTTCAATCACTGTCCTTCCTTTCAGTTTCCAAGAATAATCTAACCAATTTAAGTGGAGCACTAAGGAGTTTGATGGGTTGCAGAAACCTTGGAACTCTCGTCCTCTCCAGTAGTTATAATGGTGAAGCGTTGCCGGATGGGGATATAATTGAAGATGCAAACGCATTCCAAAATATCCAGGCTTTGGCTATTGGAGCTTGTCAGTTAACTGGAAGAGTACCCTCATGGATAGAAAAGCTCAGGAATCTAGAGGTCTTGGACCTTTCGTTTAATCGTCTTGTTGGTTCAATACCAGAATGGTTAGGTGATTTGCCGAGTCTGTTTTATGTTGACTTGTCTAATAATAGAATTTCCGGAAAATTCCCCATCCAGCTTTGCAGACTGAAGGCTTTGATGTCGCAGCAGATTCTGGATCCTGCAAAGCAGAGTTTTCTTGCATTGCCCGTCTTTGTTGCACCCAATAATGCTACCAATCAGCAATACAATCACCTCTCCAGCCTTCCGCCATCTTTATATCTGGGCAACAACACCATAAGTGGCCCTATTCCTTTGGAAATTGGGCAATTAAAGGTTATACATACGTTAGACCTGAGTAACAACAGCTTCTCCGGCAGCATACCAGATACAATTTCCAATCTCAGCAACTTGGAGATATTAGACCTCTCTCATAACCACCTAACTGGTGAAATCCCCCATTCTCTCAGTGGACTTCATTTCTTGTCTAGGTTTAGCGTGGCCTTTAACGACCTTCAAGGACCAATACCAACTGGGAGTCAGTTTAATACCTTTCCTAGCTCTAGCTATGAAGGAAATTCAGGGTTGTGTGGCCCTGCTATAGTGCAGCGCTCTTGCCCTAGCCAGACTAAAGTGACTCATTCCGGCGCTCAAAATAAAAGCTCCAGTAAAAAACTTGTCATTGGATTAGTCTTGGGCACCTGTTTAGGTCTGGCTCTCATCGTCTCCCTGCTAGCGTTATGGATATTATCCAAGAGGAGGATCGATCCAAGAGGGGATACCGACATAATAGATTTGGACATAATTTCAATTAGTTCTAATTACAATGCTGACAACAACACTAGCATAGTCATTCTGTTTCCAAACAACGCCAACAACATCAAGGAGCTTACCATTTCTGACATAATGAAGGCCACTGGTGATTTCAATCAAGAAAACATAATTGGCTGCGGTGGTTTTGGATTGGTTTACAAAGCAACATTAGCAAACGGGACGAGACTTGCTGTAAAGAAACTCTCGGGAGACTTGGGACTGATGGAAAGGGAATTTAAAGCAGAGGTAGAGGCTCTGTCTGCAGCCAAACACCAGAACCTGGTTACTCTTCAAGGTTACTGTGTGCATGAGGGCAGCCGGCTGCTAATGTATTCGTACATGGAAAATGGAAGCTTAGATTACTGGCTGCATGAGAAGGTTGACGGTGCATCTCAACTTGATTGGCCAACTCGGTTAAAGATTCTACGAGGAGCAAGTTCTGGATTGGCCTACATGCACCAAATATGTGAGCCACATATTGTACACCGTGACATTAAGTCCAGTAACATCCTGCTCGATGAGAAATTCGAAGCTCATGTGGCAGATTTTGGACTTTCTAGATTGATCAATCCTTACCAAACTCATGTCACAACCGAACTTGTTGGCACCTTAGGCTACATTCCTCCTGAGTATGGACAAGCATGGGTCGCCACTTTGAGAGGAGATATGTACAGCTTTGGGGTGGTCATGCTTGAGTTGCTTACTGGCAAAAGACCTGTTGAGATAACAAAGCCAAAGGCATCACGAGAGGTGGTTGGCTGGGTGCAACAGATGAGGAATGAGGGCAAACAAGATGAAGTCTTTGACCCAATTCTGAGAGGAAAGGGCTTTGAAGAAGAGATGCTTCAGGTTCTCGATGTTGCCTGCATGTGTGTCAGTCAGAACCCCTTTAAAAGACCAACCATCAAGGAAGTTGTTGATTGGTTGAAAGATGTGGGGGCGACCAAGGTTCACCAAAATAAGGATGTGTGAAATTGCACTTCTATAAATGAGGGCAGAAACCATACATGCACAAAAGGAAAAAAGGGTTTTTGTTTCTTTTCTAATGCAACCTTTTAACTACAGTTTTATCTCGGTGTAAATGGTAAAGGTGGTGTTGTATTTATTAAAATTACTTCTTTTGTTTATAATTCTAGCATCTACTTCAAGCATGTGAAGAAACTTTTGGCTTGTATCTGTTACATTACATCCTAAAACAGGATTTATTTGATTATCCAAAATCATAGAAGAAGAAAAAGAAAAATTCACAGCGACATGACCTGAAAATCTTATAGGCTATACCAGCATTTAGCGCCCTTCGAGAGGGGAAGATTTAATAATATCCAAAGATATGCCTAGGCTTGAAACTTGGTCAACATAGGACTAAAGTAGATGTCAAACCGGAGCATCAGTTTCTAGCAAATTCTAAACCGAAGGTCTGCGGATACCGATGGACCATGCATGTGGTCCACGGCGAGTGATTGTAGAACGGTCAATGGGGGTTTAGTATGGTGTGCCAGCCGTGTTTTTGTGGTTTCAGGTTGGTTTTGTGCCATCTTTTACTACCAGTCGGGTTTCTTTTTCAGAAAACGGACATCCCAACCTTTGTTCGGTGTTCACCAACTTAAGTGATATGAAATGAAATGGTCCAACTGTTTAAAGGTCGGTAGCCCAATGTAATCGAACCATACGCTAGTAATCACCAAATATGACAACCTACTATCCTTGACACGGTAAAACAGGACGCGAATTTAGAATATTATACAAGAAAGACAGGTACGGTAAGAAGTGTTAGATGAATACAACTCTCCACAATGGTATGATATTATCCACTTTAAGCATAAGCTCTCGTGGCTTTGCTTTGGGCTTCCCCAAAAGGCCTTATACCAATGGAGAGAGTATTCTTTGATTATAAACTCATGATCATTCTCTAAATTAGACAATGCGGGACTTTCATCATCTAACACCTCCCCTCAAACAAAGTATGTCTCCCCTTAATCGAGGCTCATGGGACTTTCATCATCCAGCAGAACATAGAAGAAAACATGGAACTACACAGCTGCTAAGTCAGGGACTAACTCTAAACATGTTGAAAACTCACTGTGAAGAGGTTGGGTTTCATTACTAACTTTTGGGTAGGGGGATACAGAAAATCAAGTATCAAGAAACCAAAAACCGGCTTCTTCCAGTGAGAGATTTATTTCTGGCAAAGGCAATAACTCACTCAAGTATCTCAGTGCCGCATACTGTTAGTAATGGATATCAAAGGAAATTACCAGGGGAAAAACTGAAAATCCAACCAAACCTATAACCATGATAGAAAAAGCTATCACGGTCTTGATCAACGTAGACAATTTGAGGGATCATAAGTACTTGATATGAGAATGGAATGACAAAATAGAGATAGTGATCAAAACAGTAGCCATACATATAGTCTTACTGTGAATATAAAATAAACTGAATTACATATGAAAAGTAACTAGAGCTGTAACCAATAAACTAAGTATTTAACAGATTTTAACCAAAAGTACAACTCCTTTGGTGAGCTTTCTTAGCAAGAGTCGGAGATGCAAATTTATGAGAACCTATATGCATTGTTACAACTGAAACTAAATTGAGATTGAAGGTAGTGTCAGGTTGTTCAAAGCCTTTATCATAAAATTATGTCCAAATGACGCCTACTCCCCTACAACTCCTACGAGTGATGGTCTAACTTTCCAACTGACGTCGACTCTTCTGAATGTTGATTTACCTAACTAACTGGATTCAAAGGCACTAATGACGTTGATTTCATACTTCTCAACAATTAACAAACGAACAGTCCTAAAACGTAAAATAGATCAATTATCGAAATACTCCTTGTTCAATCAATCGGTGAGCTGAATCCAGAAGTTTACCATTCAGATTTCAAAAAATATAACAAGTATTGGAATGCTAAGAGTACTTACCCGAACAACTTCCACATTCAATCGGATTCGAATACGAGTTCTATCGCTGGTGATATTATAGGCACGTTCCTAATTCCTCGTCTCCATTCTCCATTAGAGTTGGTATCTTGCGAATGTTCAGCGTAATTTCCTTGGCTTCATGGCTACATAAAAAACGAATTTAGCAAACACGCTGTTCGCTGCACTTTGGAGCTTGAACTTTGCAGAAGAACAAAAGAATAACGCGAAATGGAAACAGGAAATTCACAGAAATATGAAGAAAATTGAAATGCCGTTAGAAGCTGCATACATTTCAGAGCAATGTAGACTGAAGAGAGGATGGATGGTTTGAGTTCTCCTGTACCATAAATAATGAGCTCGGATAAACCATGGAGAACAGGAGGGAAACTGAAATTGCAGATATGAACATTTGCAGAAATGAATATTTTCAGATGAGACCTCCTAATTTTATTTTATTATGATCATTTTACTAAACTCCGCAATGACGCCAAGCTACTGTGACTGCTCTGTTCTATTCGATGTCTTGGGCCGTTGTTACTAAATTTGGGCCTAATTGGGCTGGATATCGAATGGGCCGCGATTACATATGAATGGTAGATTAAAACGTAATTATACCACGCTTAAAATGCTTTTTTTTTTCTTTTTTTTTTGTGACAAAATACTCTGAATTCTGATATAACTGTCTATTTTATTTTTAAAGGTTTAAATTTTACACTAGAATACCTTTAAATAATACCCTAAAATGTAAAAAAAATAAAAAAAAATATTGGAAAGAAATTATAAATAATTTATCATTTAACTTCGAATTTCAAAACTTTTATTAATAATACTTTTCAACTATTTTAAAACTTTAAAAATGTCTTTAAAAATTTTAAAAAAAAATTAAAATGAAAAAATACACTCATAGTTAACCTCACATTTAAAAAATATATATGAATTTTAAAAAATATATGGAGAACTTATGAGGTGTGTTAGACTGTTTTTGTCATATATTGGTACTGAGAATTTTTAAATTTTTTATAAATATAAAGAATCTTAATGCTACTTTTAAAATTTCATGGGTATTTTTTAAACATAGTTTAAGTCTAAAACTAACCGTAAATATATTTTTTCAATTTAAGAGTATTTTTTTAAATAAATTATAAAGTTAATGGGTATTTTTATTAATTTAGAAATTAAAATGTTATTTTCATTGAATCTATTGACTCGTGTGAATACTATCCGCATATTATTTCTAATTATTGTTTGTTTTCAAATAAGACTATTGAAATCTTTGGCAGCAAAAGACACGTTTTTTCTTGTTTTTTTTTTTTGCGTGACTTTATCCATACAATATTCTAATAAAAATTAGTGAATAAAATAATTTTTAAGAAAATATTGTGAAAGGCAGGAATAATACCTTAATTAAACTCGTATTTATAATCATTACTGCTAAATTTACCCTAAAATATAACAAATTTAGAAACTTCATCAATCAAATTAAGTAATAAAATTTAAATTTAAATAATCTAAACCAAACACGGCACAGCCAAGGGAAAAAAATAATATGAAATACGAACCCTCTTGGTAGTTGGAGAACCACAAGCCCACAAATCTAGGAGCACCAAAACTTTGAACGACGGCGTTTCAAAGTTTGACCCATCTCCAACCTAAATTATTATTAGGCCAAATTATAATTTACACTTTCTTTTTTAAAATACCCTTAAAACTTCAAAATTTAAAAAAAAAATTACCCTTACAAATAAATAGATTGAAGCGGTCGGTAATGACATTTAAAAAAAAAATTAAAAAAGCTAATATTAATGCAACAAATATTATTTTAATAAATTAATAATATTCTACCATAGTCGCCTTAGTAAGTTGTTTGTTGTAGAACAGACTCTCTTGACCATGAACCCTGCATCCAATGATCGTTATCTTATTAAAAAAAACGAGATTCTTGTTTATATTATTATTACTATTTTTTATTTTTCTTTTAAAAGACTCGAAATTAGGTTGAGATGTGATTATGAATTCATTTTCATCGAAGTTTATTATGTTTTTTAAAATTTAATATCGATCATAGGGTGATGGAAGCAGGAGTTCATTTTAATTAATCCGAAATAAATTATCAAGTAATTGAATTTGTGTATAATTAATTTTTTTTTTTTAATATTACCTGTCATTTTGTTGAGGAGACCTTAATATTTTTGTATATTTTTAATAATTATAAATTTTCAAACTCTATTTTAAGTCAAGTATTATAATTCACACTTCATATTAAAAAAAACAAAATATGAAATTTCGATGAAACCATTTATGATGCCTAATAGTTTGTTTATATCGAAACGACAGATCGTTTTGTTTGGGTAGCTTGTAACTTCTCCGACGTTTCCCGGGTAGTTAGAGCGTGTAACATGAACCTTAATGGGCCAGGCCCATTTCTTTTTTTTTTTTCTTTTTGTTTATTTTTTTAATTATTATTATTTTAACATAGGTTTTGTCTTCTTTCTATTGAAAATAAATCAATTTAATAGCCTTCTAATTAGCTCTTTTATGTTTTTTTTTCCAAGTGTTTCGTGTGAGTAAACTCCTTTTATTTATTTATTTTTTTAAATGGCTGCGAAAATGCGTATGATCGGGGTAGGTGAAAAATTAGTCATTAAATTAATTCCTTTTCCTCCTCAATTAAAATAAATTATTAATTAATTATTATATTGCACAGGTTAAATTATGAAAGGTGCAACTTGATACTAGCTCGTGTTGTATTTATACTAATACTACTAATAATAATAATATATTTTAGACTAATAAAAAGGTACTTTTCATTAATCACGTTTTATTTAATAAAAGAAAATAATAAGGACTATCTTTATATTATTTAAGAACGAAGACATAAAGTTAATATGTCACACGATCTTTAAATGACATGCAACCAACCGATATATTATATAATCGTGAAATAAATTTCACGGAAAGCAACTCTTAAATGCACACGTAACCATTCAAACTTTAATAAATTTTAATATACTAAGTTTACTATTTCATTTCTCTTTTTTTATTTTCCATTTTTGTTTTTTATTTTAAAAAATGTATTTTAAATTAATATATATTTATGTCTCTAACCTTTTTATTTCCACATCTTCACCTATTTTTCTCTTATTAAACTACAGAACATTCGTATATTAGATTATTTTTTAAGATTTTTTAATCAAAATTTGTCAAATAATAATAATAATAATAATAATAATTTTTATGTCACGAAAAAAATACAATGCAAACATATTTCCGAATTAACAAAGAAAATACTACTATAGACTAAAATTATTTTTTAAATAATTAACAATAAAATAATATGTACATAAAAGGCTAAATTCGTATTTTTATCATAATTTTTTTACCTTTTAAATTGTATAAATACCTTTATCTTTATCTTTTTTCTTTTTTCTTTTTTTCTTTTTTTCCTTTTTTCACGTTCTTTGTTTCGATGTAAATTAATGAAATATCGCTATATTCACAGATCCAGCCCACAAGTCGGTGGATCATCAAATAAAACCACGTAAACAAAATGAACAAATATATATATATATATATATATATATATATATATATATATATATTAAATTTAAAATTTTTATCACTGTCATTAGAGTTTTTTTTTAATTTAATTATGCTAAATTAATTGTAAATTTATGTTTATCAAACATAAAATTGATTAATTAATAAATAAACAAAAAATTAGTCCACTAATAATAAAAATAATAATAATTTCGCTGATTTTTTTAAGATTCAATCTAAATTTTTTTAGTTCTAATATTTTAAAAAATTTGTTGAGAGTCAAAGTTTGGGAGTAGGTGAAAAGTCCTCAGACCTCACATCTGACCGCGACGCCGATTATCAAAACAAACAGAAACGAAAAGAATCCGATTGATTTTTTTCTCACCAACCAAACACTATTTTTTTGGTATAAAATCTCCACATTTCTCTTCATCATCTTCACACCAAACCCTTCTCTGTTTTTTTGTTCTTCTATCTGAGCTTCAAGCTTCATCAATGGCCGCTGAATTAAACCAAACAAACGAGTTCATTTTCCGATCAAAGCTTCCCGATATTCACATTCCCAATCATCTTCCACTCCATCACTACGTTTTTCAAAACCAGTCCAAATTCGGCTCCCGCCCCTGTTTGATTAACGGCGCCACCGGCGATGTTTACTCATACCACGACGTTCAGTTAACAGCCCGTCGTGTCGCCAGTGGACTTCACAATCTCGGGATTAAGAAGGGTGATGTCGTTATGAATTTACTTCCCAACTCGCCGGAATTTGTTTTCACGTTTCTCGGAGCGTCGTATCGCGGTGCTATTATGACGGCGGCGAATCCGTTTTACACGGCGGTGGAAATTGCCAAACAGGCGAAAGCTGCTAATGTGAAATTGATTGTCACCATGGCTTGCTTTTATGATCGGGTTAAGGATTTGGCTGAAAATGGTGTCAAAATTGTGTGTGTTGATTATGCTGTTGAGGATTGTTTGCATTACTCTGTTTTGAGTGGCGCGGATGAATCCCATTTGCCGTTTGTGGATTTCGCCGCCGATGATGTGGTGGCGCTGCCGTATTCCTCCGGCACCACCGGTTTACCAAAGGGTGTTATGTTGACTCATAAAGGGTTGATCACAAGCGTTGCTCAACAAATCGACGGCGAAAATCCGAATCTGTATTATCATGGTGGTGATGTTATCCTCTGTGTTTTGCCGTTTTTTCATATCTATTCACTCAATTCGATTTTGCTGTGTGGATTACGCGCCGGCGCTGCGATTTTGATAATGCAAAAATTCGAAATCGTTTCGTTTTTGCAATTAGTTGAGAAATATAAAGTGTCGATCATGCCGATCGTGCCGCCAATTTTTTTAGCCATTGCTAAATCGCCGGATTTGGAGAAATACGACGTGTCGTCCGTGAGGGTATTGAAATCCGGTGGAGCGCCGCTGGGGAAAGAATTGGAAGACGCTGTGAGGGAGAAGTTTCCAGCGGCGATTCTCGGGCAAGGATATGGAATGACCGAGGCCGGTCCGGTTCTAACCATGAGTTTAGCGTTTGCGAAAGAACCGTTTCCGGTGAAAGCCGGCGCCTGTGGGACGGTGGTTCGAAATGCAGAGATGAAGATTGTTGATCCGGAAACCGGCGCGTCGTTGCCGGCGAATTCCGCCGGAGAGATTTGTATTAGAGGGGATCAGATCATGAAGGGATACTTAAACGATTTGGAGTCTACGAAGAGGACTGTTGATAAAGAAGGATGGCTTCACACCGGTGACATTGGGTTCATCGACAACGACGACGAGCTCTTCATCGTCGACCGGCTTAAGGAACTGATAAAATTCAAGGCGTTTCAGGTGGCGCCGGCGGAGCTGGAGGCTCTTCTGATCACTCACCCCAAACTTTCCGA